ACATCCTTGGCTACCAAGGAAACACAAAGTAAGACTACTTTGAGATTACATCTCATCTCAGTTAGAATGGCTATCATCAAGAAAGCAAATGAGGGGCTTGAGAGATGGCTCAGCAGTTAAGAGTTCTTGTCTTTGCAAAGGACCTGGGTTCAATTCCCAACACCCATATGGTGGCTTCACAACTATCCATAATTCTACTTCCAAGGGTTCTGACATTCTCTTCTGGCCTCCAAGGGCACCTGGCATGCATATGGTACACAGACATACATGCAAGCAAAACATTCATACACATAATTTTTTTTAAAAAGGGAAAGAGAGCCAGGCGGTAGTGGCGTACATCTTTGATCCCAGCACTGGGGAGGCAGAACCAGGCGGATCTCTGTGAGTTCGAGGCCAGCCTGGGCTACAGAGTGAGTTCCAGGAAAGGTGCAAAGCTACACGGAGAAACCCTTTCTCAAAAAAAAAAAAAAAAAAAAAAAAAAAGAGAAATAAAACAGAAAAACAACAATGCTGGTGAGGATGTCAAGTGTTATAGAATAATCTTTTTGTACACTGTGAAGATGTTTTTGCCAAGATGCCTTCTGATTGGTTTAATAAAGAGCTAAATGGCCAATTGCTAGGCAGAAGGTTAGCGGGGACTTCCAGGCACAGAGATGACTCTGGGAAGGTGAAGGCAGAGTCACCAGCCAGACATGGAAGTAGTTAGAGGGACAGAATAAGGGAAAAAATAAAAAGCCACACTGTAGAACATAGATTAAAAGAAATGGGTTAATTTACATTATAATTGAGACAAGCTTCAGCTAAAGGCCAAGCTTTCATAATTAAAAGAAGTCTCTGTGTCATTATCTGGGAACTGGCTGGCCGGACAGAGAAAGACTTGTTACAGTGAAGGAAACAGAAAGACCCATTCACTGTTGGTGAGAGTGTAAACTGGTCCAGTCACTATGGAAATCAGTGACGTTTCTCAAAATAACAGTTATACCACTCCTAGGCATTTACCCAAAAAGTTCTATATATACCACAAAGATAATTGCACATCCATGTTCTTGGCTGCTCTAATCATAAGAGCAAGAAAATGAAATCAGCCTAGATGTCCATCAGCTGACGAAAGGATAATAATGTGGCGCATATACACAATGTAATTTTATTTGGCCATAAAGAAAAACGAAATTTTGAAATCTGTAGGAAAATATTAGGTGGAATAACTCAGACTGAGAAAGACAAACACTGCATGTTCTTTCTCACATAGAGTCTTAGCTTGCTTGCACTTTTATATTTGGGCATTTATGTAGGTGTGTGTAGAGTCTTTATCCTTTTTTTTTTTTAAAAGATTTATTTATTATGTATACAGTGTTCTGCCTGCACACCAGAAGAGGGCACCAGATCTCATTACAGATGGTTGTAAGCCACCATGTGGTTGCTGGGAATTGAACTCAGGACCTTTGGAAGAACAGCCAGTGCTCTTAACCTCTGAGCCATCTCTCCAGCACAAGTCTTTATCCTTTTAAAGAGGGTATGAAAGGATCAAGCAGACACCATAACAGGCTGCTCAGTCTTCTCTCAGAGACTGGGCCTCAATTTCAGTTTCCTAAGACTTGAGCAAGCAGTTTCTGGGAAGGCCATGAACAAAAGACATAGTCCTTGCAGTAGCTCCCTTTCTACATGTACTCTGATGTTCAAAGTTCAGCCAGTTGTTTACTGTCTGGGACCCCTCACCAACTTAGAGCTACGTGCATGGATCAATGTGAACGTGTGAGGCCAGGCAGTCTCGATGGCAGTTCAAGGACAGAGCCTGGGCCACTGAGTCAGCCCCCACAGTCAGTACATGCAAGGCCAGCCAGCCCCCACGGCAGCTCAAGGACAAAGCCTGGGACTTGTCCAGGCCTACCGCAAAATGATAACTGCAACCCCCAACCAGTAAATTCAAAGGTTACACACCCTCACCCAATCATATGACGCCAAGGCTTATACCACCCTGTTTGCGGTTTTTCCCTTTAAAAACCCATCACCCTGAGAGCTCAGGGCCGTCCTCCTTCACCTGGCCAGCCAGTGTGTTGGATGCGGACCAAGCCTGAGCTTGCTTGTTATCAATAAACCCCAGTGTTTTGCATCGGATATTGGCTCTGTGGTGGTCTTGCTGGAGGTCTCGCAACGAAGCCACAACAGGTATAGGGGTAGTTGAATGCTTGTGGTATGGAAGTGAAAGGAAGAATACTGAGAATTGGGTAGGGAGATGGTGCAGAGAAGGAGGTATATACTAACAATGTATAGAAAAAAAGATAAAATATGATACTTGATAAGCTAATTAAAAGATAAATAATTAATTAATTAAAAGAAAAGGTTCAGCAGGGCATGGTGGTGCACGCCTTTAATCCCAAGCAGAGACAGGTGAATCTCTGAGTTGGAAGGCAACCTGATCTACAGAGCGAGTTGCAGGAAAGCCAGGGCTACACAGAAAAACTGTGTCTCAAAAAAAAAAAAAAAAAAGGAAGAAGGAAAAAAAAGGTACCCTGTATGGGCAGCTAAAGCTACTCCCTGAAGCCATAGAGTATTGAATGGAAATCCCAGTGCCAAGTGGTCCCCCTCCCTATGAACTGTTGGCCAGGGGGGCTCCTGTGACTCCTAAAACAACAAAGGGATCACCACTGCTGTTGGTTGTCCACCAGAACTAGATGAGAAGACCCAATGACTTAAGTTGCCAAAAGCCCTGGTCACAGGGTATAGAAAAGTCGAGGTGGACATAAGCTAGATGCTTCCTTCTTGCTCATCCTCACAGTGCAAGAAGGTGCTATGTTGGCTGCTGGGGAAACTGTCACTAACGGTCTTACTGACCTGTAACTGCTGTGTGCAAAAGTACTAACTAAGGCTGGGTGTGGTGGCACATGTCTTTAATCCCAACACTTGGGAAACACAAGCAAGTGGATCATCCTACAGATCCAGTTCTAAGCCAGCCAGGGATACAGAGTGAGAACCTGTCTCAAAAAAGGAAAGTAAAAAACAAAAACAAGAATCAACTAGACATGCAAGATAAACCCACTGCTGCAACAGTGGGAAGTCTACTATGAGTAACCATTGCTTTCTACCTGGGTCTGACGCCTGCTCCCCAAGAGGAAATTCACATCCGGCATGGTAAACTGTTCAGATGCCTAGGTTAGGGGAAGCAGAGCTCTTGAGGGGAAGCTATTGCTGTCACTGTAGTAAATGATAAGATATGTCTACCAAACTATCCCCGCCCTCTTTTTTTGAGACAGGATCCCATTAGACCAGGCTGGCCTCAAAGCCAGAGAGATCCACCTGCCTTTGTTTGCCCGGCTAGTCTCTACTTCCCGAGCTCTGGATTAAAGTCATGAACTACCACATTTGGTCCTGAAATCGTGCTTTAATAACTATGTTTATACCCATAAATTACTGCTACTGTTAAGAGTCATCAGAAATGCTTCTTTGTGCAGAGGTCAGCAATGACTGTGAAGATTCATAACTAGTCAAAGGACTGGGAATAAATGACTATTGAATGCCCAGGTAAAACACTCCCTTGGAGAACATACAGGAAGAGGGCAAAAAGAATGGAAGAGCTGGAAGCGGGAGGTAGAGAGGTGTGGAACACTGACTTCCAAGCATGCCACAGTTGTTACACTCCTTAACTCTCAGCAGCTGTGATTACCTACACAAGATCTGCGTAAGATTGGGCTGCTCAACATCCTGTCATGGAGCAGGGAAGGGTTCATGGGTCCCACCTCGCTCTGAAGCTTTAAACACTATAAAGGGTATAACAATAGGAAGGGGGAACATTTTCTCTAGTGGTGTAACCACTGGTAAGGTCCCCACCCTCCAGTAAACCAAGAACCCTAATGAAACTCGACATGGGAAGGAGGAGAGTTAGCTGAGAAGAGGACGGAGGACAGCAGAAGTGGGAGGGGACAAAAGAGAGTAACGGGGACTGTGACTGAAACGTCTATGTCCGCATGTGAAAAGGAGGGTTATTTAGCTTACAATTCCAGGTAGAGTCCATCACTGTTAAGGAAGTCATGGCAGCAGAAGCTTGAGCAGTCAGGAGCAGAGAGGAAAGAAACATGCACACTTCCAGTTCTGAGCTCTCTTTCCTTACTCTTGCATGGTTCAGTACACTAGCCCAAAGAATCATGTTGTCCACCTGGGCTGGCTGTTCCTGTATAAATTATCATCCAAACAATCCTCCAGGGCAACCTGGTCTAGACCATTCCTCAGATTCTCTTCCCAGATGATTCCAGGCTGTATCAGGCTGACAATTAAACTAACTACCACACTGTGCTGATTCACCATAAACTGGCACAATCAGTTTATGGTGCTTTCACACAAGTCAAAGTCACCTGGAAAGGAGGGACCTCAATTGAGAAAACCCCTGTACCAAACTGGCCTGTGAACAAGCCTGTGCTGCATTTTCTTGGTTAACAATTGATGAGGGAAGACACAGCTCAAGTTGACAGGGCCACCCCGGATCGGTGGTTCTGGGTGCTATAACAAAGCAGGATGAGCACAAGCCAGTAAGTAGCAATATTCCATGGCCTCTGTATCAGCTACTGCAAGTTCCTGTTTTGAGTTTCAGCCCTGACTTCTCTGGTTGCTGGACAATAAGTTGTAAATAAACCCTTTCCTCACCAGGTTACCTTTGGTGTCACAGTGTTTTATCACAGCAACAGAAACCCCAAGACACACAGTGAATAATTATAAACTATTTTGATAACTCAGGGAATATGAAGGAGAGGAAAAAGAGGAAGGATGGGGGTACAACTCCAGCAGAGCATGTGTTTAGATGCATGAACCTCTGTGTTTCATTACGAGAAGAAGACAACAACAGGGAAATAGGAGGATAAATGGAAAATGCTTTTCATATAAGTTTAAGAAAATTAAAATTAACTTTAAAAATCTTCATAGAATCCATTTTAAATAGCTAAAAATCAATATATTCAGTAATAATGACATACATTTTCATTACAATCTAAAAATGTTCAAGGGTATTTTACCTGACGAAATATCTCTGTGACAAAGTTTACATTGCTTCTTTTAGATGAAAACACTCTGCGGACAATCTCAATGTCTGTGAGATGCTCTTCGTCGATGCTACAGAGACTAGAAGAGCTGGGTTCTCGCTCCGTGAGGGTGCTTGTATTAGAATGAGACTGCTCGGGTTCTGTTGTTTTGTCTGCTTTATCAACATTATCATTTTTGTTTTCTTCTCTGGATACCAAACTAGCAGCTGCTCTCTAAAATGAAAACAGAAGTGAAAGAACATCATTATCATTCAACTTAATGTTTTACTTTCAGTAAGTATTGGCACACCCCAAGGCCACATCCAACACTGTTTAAAAGCCAGATAATCAATTACACTTAGAATCCATTCTGAAGAATTAAGTAGAAATGCAGATAACACCTAAGTGATATAGAAAAACACCAATGTGTAGTAACAAACCATCTACTTACCTGTAATTAAACTGAAGTAATTCAATTAAGTCATCAATTAAACCCACATGAAAAGACTTTCAACACACAGTCACAAACAAAGGAAGCCCCGGTCTTTAAGAATGAGTAAAAAACTGACAAGTCAACAGCATCAGGCTATTTAGTTCACAATGCTAAACACTGAAAACTTTCTGAAGCAGAAGAGGAAGAGGAGACATGACTCATGACAGGAAACAAAGAAATAAGACTAAAAGAAAATCTGAGGAATTGTGAGAAGATGCTGTTCACTATAATAACAGAATATTCATCAAGCCTGAAGCCCAAGCCTAACCTGATCAAACTGGCTTCTTACCAGAGATGCAGGGATGATTCCACATATATAAATAAATGAACATAATTCAACACAAAAACAGACTAAAAGACAAAACCATGTGATCATCCCATTAGAAAAGGCCTTTGACAAAATCCAATATTACTTCATGATAAAGATCCTGGAGAGACTAAGGGATACAAGGGATATACCTCAACATAATAAAGGCAATTTACAGTAAGCTCACAGCCAACATCAACCTAAATGGGGACAATCCCAAAGTATTTCTACTAACATCAGGAACCAGACAGGATGTGTCAACTCTCTATACCTAGTCACACAGTACTTAAAGTTCTAGCAAGAGCAATAAGACAACTGAAGGAGATCAATAGGATACAATAGAAAAGGGAGAAGTTCAAGTATTTTTATTTGTGGATGACATGATTTTTATACATAAAAGATCCCAAGAACACCACCAGGAAACTTCTATAGCTGCTACATACTCAGCAAAGCAGCAGGATACAAATTAACACACAAAAATCAGTAGTCTTCTGACATATAAATGAAAACAGAGAAACAGGACCTTTTTACAATAGTCTCAAAATATATATATATATATATATTGGAATAACTCTAAATAAACAAGTGAAAGACTTCTATAAGAAAAACGTTAAGACACTGAAGACATCAGAAGATAGGAAGATATTAATCCCATGCTCATGGACCCATAGGATTAATATTGTGAAAATGGCCATCCTATCAAAAGTATCTACAAATTCAATGCAATCTCCATCAAAATTCAACACAATTCTTCACAGAAAGTAAAAGTTGATATGGAATGACAAAAAAATTCAGGGCAACAAAACAATTATGAAAATGAACTGGTAGAAGTTCGTTACCCCAAATTTCAAGTTGTACTACAGAGCTACAGTAATAAAACTGCATGGTATTGGATTTAAACACACACACACACACACACACACACACACACACACACACACACACACACACACACACACTGGTCAATGGAATTGAATTGAAGACCCAGATATAAGTCCATACACCTACAGATACTTGGTTTTTGACAAAGAAGTAAAAAATAGACATTAAAGAAAAGACAGCAACTTCAACAAATGGTTCTCGTCAAACTGGATGGCTGAATACAGCAGAATTCAAATAGAACCATATTTATCAACCTGCACAAAACTCAACTCCAGATGGATCAAGGACATCAACATAAGCCCAGATACCCTGAATATGATAGAAGAGAAATTGCAGAATAGGTTCAAGCTCATTGGCACAGGAAATTACTTTCTGAACAAGACCCTGACAGCACTAAGATCAACAATGAGACCTCAGGAAGCTGAAAAGCTGTATACAGCAAAACACACTATCATTTCAGCAAAGTGGCAGCCTACAGAATGGGAAAACATATGATAGAGGGTTAGTATCTAAATATATATAAGAAAAAATGAGATACGGAACTAAGGAGAGAGTTCTCAAAAGATGAAACACGAATGGCTGAGAAACACTTAAAGAAATGGTCCACACCCTTAACCATCAGGGAAATGTAAACTAAAACTACTTTGAGATCTCACCTTATACCAGTAAGAATGGCCAACATCGATAAACAAACAACATTGCATGCTGATGTGGATGTGGGGAAAAGGAACATTTATCTTCCCTAGTGGGAGTGCAAACTGGTATAGCCACTATGGGAACCAGTGTGGTGGTTCCTCGGAAAGCTGAGAATCATATATGTGTGTGTGTGTGTGTGTGTGTGTGTGTGTGTGTGTGTGTGTGTGTGTGTATCTCAAGAGCCACCTATACCACTCTTGGGCATAAATCCTATGGGTACAAAGGGTTCTATATCCTACTACAGAGGTACTTGCTCATCCATGTCCATTGTTACTCTATATATAATAGGCAGAAATTAGAAACAGCCTAGATGTCAATCAGCTAATGGACAATGAAAATGTGGTACATTTACACAATGGAATGTATTGAGCTGTTACAAAAAATGAAAGTCACAGGTAAATGGATGGAACGAAAAAAAAATCATCCTGAGTAAGGTAGCTCAAACCCAAAAAGACATATATTGTATGTTTTCTCTTACATGTGGATGTTAGCTTTCAAATCTTTGATGTGTGTGCTACAATCTCCGGAGAAACTAAGTACTTAATACAGGAGGGACTGGGAGTAGGAGAGGATCTCCCAAGGAAGGGGAAATAGAATCTAGTAGTATGGAGAGACAAAGGAAAAACTAGAATAGGAAGGTGTGGTGATATTTTATTTGTGCTGAAATGTGATATTTTATTTGTATGTTAATAAATAAAAGTTTTCCTGGAGATCAGAAGTCATAGTGAGCCATAAACAGAAGTCAGGCAGTGGTGGCACATGCCCTTAATCCAATCATATGACAGGCAGAGTCTCTGTGTGTTCAAGGACGCAGCCAAGCGTGGTGACACGTCTTTAATCCCAGTACCAACCATAGAGACCTGGAGGTCTGTGTAGACAGGCAGTGACGAGAAAGTCATGTGGCTGGGCTTAGAGCCAATGAGAAGGCAGAACAGGAAGGCAATAAAGGCACAGGTTAGACAGGAAGAAGCTCTCTTGGGAAGCTACGGCGAGGTGGTAAGCTAAGGTTAGTTGGCGGCTATTGCTCTGGTCTCTACGGCTTGCACCTTTGTATTTGGCTCTGTGTTTCTTATTTAATAAAACTGTTTAGAAATCCATCTATAGGAAGATTATAAAGAGAGAGGAATGAAAGAGAAGGGTAAAGCAGGGAATATGGAGAGGAATAACTAACACTAAAGGCCATTTGAAAAACTATATAGAAACCTACTACTGCAGAAGCTTCCTACAATTTATACATATATGAAGAATTTAAATGGAGTGACCAAATAAGGGGAACAATGCCCCAACTAGACATCTTATGCCACCAAGTAAAACCTCCACCAAGTAAAAAATCCAAGAATGGATTGCATCTTGTTTAGTCATTGGCCAAAGGGACCCAGTGGAAACATTCAAACATCAAGGCTATTGCCAAGGCTATTGGTTATTCTCCACAACCTGATGGTAAGACCCTATTGCTGAAGTCACTTATGCCATTGAACATGGAGAAATCAAGCTGGTCCCTAACTAGAAGCTTCAACCCTACTGTAATCATCAGTATCAACCAGCTATAATCCCTATTGCCTACAACAGAGACCTGACTGCAAGATAAACTGATGCAACAATGTCATGGGAGCAACCAATCATTTTCTGATTGGATTTAAGGCCCACTTCATGAGATGGTACCCATTTCTGGTACCATATGCTCAAGTGGCCAAGAACCTGAGACTAGAGAGTTCATACTTCTAGGGGGAAACCTAATACTATGATTCTGCTATAGGAACGGAGCAATAAAATGGTTTCCAAGGACACTGACATACTGCTCTACCCACAGGTCAGGGTCTCACTCAGCTCTCATCAAGGATGCCTCTTCTTGCAGTAAATGGGAACTAACACTGAGACCCACAACTGAATAATGTGCAGAGAATGAGAGACTTTGGAGCACTACATTCTAAACAGGATTTCTTCATCAAACCCTCCCCATTTTGGCTCAGGGATCTATTTGAAAGAAGAGGCAGAAAGACTGTCCCAAAGGGGACAGATGACAGCAAAGAAACCTTGTCTTCATATAGAACAGGACTGATGCACCTATGAACTCACAGAGACTATGAAAGCATGTATAATACCTGCACAGATTCAAGCCAGATGGGATCCCAGCACTGGGAGGTGGAAGTGGACATGGGATCCCACTAAGAAGCTATGTGCAGCTGACACTGACTGGTAAAGGAAAATAAATCAGTTTTCTCCAATGGAATCTCACTGGGTGAATTAGCCACACCTCAGGGAAGGCTCCATGGCCAGGAGGAATTGGCCAGTACAAAACAAACTCAATAGCATTTTGGTAGATTTTTTGTCTCGTTTTGCTTTGTTTGGGTTTTTTTTTAATCTTATTGGTCTTCTGCTTATTTTTTATTTTCATTTTTGTAGGTGTGTGTGTTTCTTGTTTTTGTTGTTTTGGGATCGCTTGTTTTAAAGAGAGAGAGAGAAAGAACATATAGTTGGGTGGACAGGGAGGTGGGAAGAATCTGGAGGAAACAGGAAAGAGGAAAAACAGGATGAAAACGTATTATATTTTCAATAAATTTTTTTTTTTTTTTTTTTGGTTTTTCGAGACAGGGTTTCTCTGAGTAGCTTTGCGCCTTTCCTGGAACTCACTTGGTAGCCCAGGCTGGCCTCGAACTCACAGAGATCCGCCTGCCTCTGCCTCCCGAGTGCTGGGATTAAAGGCGTGCGCCACCACCGCCCGGCAAATTTTTTTAATTAATAGAAAAGAAATAGATTTGATAGTTAAGTCTGTGCCAACATTAGATTCAAATAAATGGCATTACTCAGTAAAAGACAGACAGACAGACAGACACACACACACACACACACACACACACACACACACACACAGGAAAGCAAAGTATTAACAAAACAAAAACAACATAATTTAAAATCCTAGCTTCTCCACTGTATAGCTATGTAACTTCCTATTATATTTTTAGACTCAGTGTTAATAATGCAAAGTTTGGGCCAGATTTCATATCTGTATTCTGTGAATGTTTAGAAAATAAAAAGGAAAGCTGGGCAGTGGTGGCGCACGCCTTTAATGCCAGCACTTGGGAGGCAGAGGCAGGCGGATCTCTGTGAGTTCGAGACCAGGTCTACAGAGCGAGATCCAGGGCAAGCTCCAAAGCTACACAGAGAAACCCTGTCCTGAAAAACCAAAAAAAGAAAGAAAGAAAGAAAGAAAGAAAGAGAGAGAGAGAGAGAGAGAGAGAGAGAGAGAGAGAGAAAGAAAGAAAGAAAGAAAGAAAGAAAGAAAGAAAGAAAGAAAGAAAGAAAGAAAGAAAGAAAAGAAAAAGGATGATGCTCGAAGATAAATCCATATGTAAACTAATCATTATACAAGTATGAGAACCAGAGTTAAACTTTTTTTTTCTTTTTTCTTTTTTTGGTTTTTTCAAGATAGGGTTTCTCTGTGTAGTTTTGGTGCCTGTCCTGGATCTCACCCTGTAGACCAGGTTGGCCTCGAACTCATAGAGATCCTCCTGCCTCTGCCTCCTGAGTGCTGGGATTAAAGGCGTGTGTCACCACTGCCTGGCGTTAAATTAAACTTTATCATACACTGAAGAGGGAAAAACATCATAAAAAGGGCCAGTACTGCCGGGCGGTGGTGGCGCATGCCTTTAATCCCAGCACTCGGGAGGCAGAGCCAGGCGGATCTCTGTGAGTTCGAGGCCAGCCTGGACTACCAAGTGAGTTCCAGGAAAGGCGCAAAGCTACACAGAGAAACCCTGTCTCGAAAAACCAAAAAAAAAAAGGGCCAGTACTATCTGCAAATTCAGTAATATCCATGGGATCTCCAAACCTATTCTCTAGGAATAAAGGAGACTATTATTCTATTAAACTACTGAGATAAACTGGAACCTAAGACTAATACATGGTTAAAATTATCTTCTATATCCCTCAAGCTTTCTTTTTAAAATTTTTAGGTATTTACTATACAAGCTTTACTTTTTATTAGGAAAATTAATACTACTTTTTCTTTTTCTGCCCCCCACCCTGACAGGGTTTCTCTGGGTAGCTCTGGCTGTCCCGGAACTTACTCTATAGACCAGGCTGGCCTCCAACTCAGAGATCTGCCTGCCTCTGCCTCCAGAGTGCTGGGTGGAATTAAAGGTGTGTGCCGCCGGGCGGTGGTGGCGCACGCCTTTAATCCCAGCACTCGAGAGGCAGAGCCAGGCGGATCTCTGTGAGTTCGAGGCCAGCCTGGTCTCCAAAGCGAGTTCCAGGAAAGGCGCAAAGCTACACAGAGAAACCCTGTCTCGAAAAACCAAAAAAAAATATATATATATATATATACCATTAAAGGTGTGTGCCACCACAGCCCTGATAATACTACTTCTACAATAATGGTTAAAGCTTGAGTTATGAGACAGATTTATTCAAATAAAACATCACAAGCATCCATTCTAAACATGCTGTATACCTAAGGCAGATGAACTCAGGAAGCCATTTCTAACTTTAACAGGCTTGCTTCATTTGTATATTACCTGAATATTCTTTGGCAAGACTTCACCTTCCATCCCAGGAATATTAGGTCCTGAATGTGGTTTTGGCTCCAGCCAGAAAGAAACCAGCCAACGAATGACAATAACCCGTGCTTGGATGAAAGGCTCTTTTGTACAGTATATTGCTTCATTGGTTTCAGCATCCTTCTTTATCATCACGTAATGAGGCTTTGGTCTGATCTGTGGGATATCTATGTGAAAATTGAAAAATAAAACATGAAATGAAAAAAGCAATTACTCTTAGCTAAGCCGACATTTTTAAACTCTTACGGAGATATTTTGACACTATACTAGTTTTAGAAGTGTTAGTTTAAAAAAAATATCTTTTATACTGTTAGATGCTAGTTAAGAACCTAGAAGAATGAACCATATATTAGGTTAATTACAAAAGCATATCTTTTCCAAAATACCATCAATCCAAGCACTCAGGAAGCAGAGGGAGACAGATCTCTGAGTTCAAGGCCAGCCTGGTCTACAGAGTGAGTTCTAGGACAGCCAAAGCTGTTGCACATAGAAACCATATCTTGAAAACAAAGAAAAAAATATTCAATGAGATGGCCATGATGGCAACACCTGAGCCTGCTAGTTGCCTCAATTTGCCACGAGGAACATCCTTCTTTAAAATAAATTTTCTACATAGAGATTTATCTCTTCCTTTCACATATGGATTGCCCAGGTCTGCCTCTAATCCAGACCTGTACACAAGGCTCTACTGCAGGGCTCCAATAGGTCACTTGACAAAACCACTAAAAACTGGACCAAGGGGCTGGAGAGATGGCTCAGAGGTTAAGAGCACTGGCTGTTCTTCCAGAGGTCATGAGTTCAATTCCCAGCAACCACATGGTGGCTCACAACCATCCATAATGAGATCTGGTGCCCTCTTCTGACCTGCAGGTATACATGCAGACAGAACACTGTATACCTAATAAATAAATAAATCTTAAAAAAAAAAAAAAAAAACTGGACCAAAAATGACAAAAAGATACAACAATTTAACTATACAATTTGATTGTTAGTGGAAACCTTGAGAAATCTTGGGGGGAAAATTCATAATATATAGTTTAAAATCAGGCATGATGATACATACCTGTAATCCCAGCACTCAGAAGGCTGAGAAAGGAAGGATCATAAAGTCTGGGACCAATCTGGGTCTGTTATTGGGCTATGTACCAAGTTGTAGGCCAACCTAGGCTGCTTACCAACTCTTTGTCTCATAATTAAAAAAAAGAAAAGAAAAAAGTACACACACACCCTAATGATCATAGAAATATTAGAATTTAATTTAATCTACTGCTAACTCTAATGGATGAGATCCAGAGAGTAAGCTTTTCATGAAACTTTTTCATTCTAGTAAAAATTTGTTACTATAAATGCACTTTCGTTATGAATCTGTGTATAGCATCAATATAAATAGTAAATGTGGTTGGTCATTTTTCCGTAAATAACAAATGCCAACTTTACACTGACATTTCATTCTTATGTGCATTCTTTTATAAAATTCTAAATTATACCTACCAAGTACAGGATGATATAAACTATTCTCCTTGCAGATGTTTGGGAAAATATAAGGCAAGTAAAACTTCTTAAAATGTGAAAACAAAAATGAAAATCCTCTTTCTTGGTTTTCTTTGTTCTTCCATTCTAAACTTTTTACCTAAAAATAAACAATATTGTTAGAATCATCCCACGAGACAGAATCTCTTAAATATAGTTTAGCTGTTATTAACAAACTTATAGAGGTTATAATATACTGAACCTTTAGACTATGAAGATCATAATATACAGCAAAAGTCCCATTCTTCATTTTTATTAACATATATAATGTACAAAGTGGTTTCACTATATAATTTCCATACATATACATATAATGTGCTTTAATTATAATCTATTCTTCAAAATTGGTCTATATAAAAATATATATTTTTAAAAAACTTACACTAAATTGTGTATTGCAATATTGTGAAAATGACTCGTTTGGCTGTATTAATGACCAATATACTACTGTTCTTTCATTACTATTCCTTCCTGAATAACTGTGATCAGAGGCATAGGCATATGTGGCCAGGAGTGTGTATGTGTGAATTTACAGTGGTAGTAGGCAAGTGTAGACATCAAAGTCCAAGAACAGGAAGCAGGGTACACATGAAATGCAACAGCTCAGTGGAGACTTGGAGCTCAAGATGTGTACAGAGACTATTCATGCAGTATGGAGTAGAGGAACAGAGGGACACAGAGTAATAATACTCCATTGTAGATGTCCAGCAAAATGAGAAAGATACCTAAGAAAGGAGTTTGCAAAGGCTCAAGGAGAGTTATTGGAACCCAGGCAAGTTAAGGAGAATGTCTGCAGAGCATGGAAATGGTGATTTGTGTAAATATGGTCACTTTTGACAAGGCTAGCTAAATAATATATTGAGAATATAAGACAAGTTTGTCACAAAGGAAAGGATGGAGCAAGGGGGACAGATGTGTGTATACATATTTATTCTTTAACTTTAGTCTTTAAGAGGATCCAGAAATAGAAACACTCAGTATTGATAGTAATGAGCATCCAAGTACCTAGCTATTAGATTCTAAGCACCAGTCTCCAGAGTGGGCCAAGGAAAAGTACAAAATAAAACTAGAACAGCAAAGAATTATACTGGAGCAGGTTGTGGTGGTACACTTTTAATCCCAGCACTCAAAAGGCAGAGGCAGGTGAAACACTGGGAATTCAAGGTCAGCCTGGTCTACACATGAGTTCCAAGACAGCTAGGACTACGCTGAAAGACTCTGATTCAAAACAAACAAATTTAAAAACAGAGCCAGGTGGTGGTGGCGGTGGTGCACGCCTTTGATCCCAGCACTCGGGAAGCAGAGGCAGGCGGATCCAAAGTGAGTTCCAGGAAAGGCACAAAGCTACAAGGCTACACAGAGAAACCCTGCCTCGAAAAACCAAAAAAAAAAAAAAAAAAATTAAAAACAGAAAAAACAATCAACAACAACAAAAAGAATTACATTGAGAACAGCAAGATGGCTCAATGAGGAAAGGTACTTCCACCACGCCTGACCACCTAAGTTCAATCCTCCGGGACACACATGATAGAAGCCAAGAGTCAACTCCACAAGCTGTTCTCTGACCTCCACCTCTGCATCATGGACACCTCTGGCCTCCCTCCAATGAAATAAATAAAAAGGTAACAAGTTGTTAAAAGAACTTTATTAGAGACAACATAAAATGCATACAAATCATCTTGAAGTCGCAAGAATCCATCAACCTATGTTGAGATATTTAATTATGAGTAAATAAATAGGGAAGGGAGAAAGCCTTTGTAGATAATTCCTCACCTACATGAATGTAGGTGCCATTACAGGATTATTTTTCAATGTTGGCTAAGAGGAGGAAAAATTCAAATGTCCCAAGGGATACACTTTGGCATATACACAGTTAATTAATAAAAAGAAAACTGATTGCTAAAATATGAATGAATTTGTAAAGCATTTCCTAAGTAAAAGAAGCCAGTCAAAAAAGAATACACTGTGTGAGTCCATTTTGACTTCACTAAATGAATTCATTTATATGAAATGTTAAGATAAGCAAATATAGATTAGTGTTTCCCTAGGGCAGGAGATGGAGTAATACTGGAGTAAAAGGACTCTTAATAGGCTTGGGATTTTTATGAGAGGAAATTAAAATATTTCAAAATTATATGTAATGACAGCAGCAGAGTCCTTAAAAACATCTACTAAACTGCACATTCTATGTGACAACTAAACTGCATGTACATGACAGCTCGATAAAGCCATCTTAAAACAATTATTAGTTGGCAACCATCACAGTAAAAATCCAGCCAGATGGCTGGGCAGTGGTGGTGCACAGCCTTTCATTCTAGCACTCGAGAGGTAGAGGCAGGTGGATCTCTGTGAGTTCAAGGCCAGCCTGATCTACAGAGCTAGTTCTGGGACAGCCAGGGCTATTACACAGAGAAACCCTGTCTAAGGTGGGGGAAAATTCAGCCAGAAGTCTTCAATAGATACTAAAACTCTGAGTAAAATTTTGAAGGGGAGGTTACATAATTATAATGGGTTTCCCCCAAATATTGACTGAATATAAAAAGAAAAATAGTATTCATAGTATTACCACATTTGAAAAGCCTGGCAGATACCACCTTAATAAAGCATCAAGAGTTACACTATAGATACATACAAAGTCACTCAAGAAGTCCCAGAGAGCTCAAAACATCATTAAATTCTAAGACTCAAACAGGAGAATATCTTCATGACACTGAAGTAGAAAAGATTTTTTCTTCTTTTATTCTCTAGGGGATATGTGTGTGTGTGTGTGTGTGTGTGTGTGTGTGTGTGTGTGTGTGTGTGTGTGTGTGAGAGAGAGAGAGAGAGAGAGAGAGAGAGAGAGAGAGAGAGAGAGTGAGAGAGAGAGAGAGACAGACAGACAGACAGACAGAGAGACAGAGAGACAGAGAGAGAAAGGAGGGAGGGAGAGAGAGAACTGTGGGCTATTCTGTATGCTGTGAAAATGTGTTGCTCTGACTGGTCAAGAGAGAGAGAGACTGAGACTTGTTATACAGTCTTGATTGGCCAGGAACTCACTATGTAGACCAGGCTAGCATCCAATTCTTAAGAGATCTACCTGTTGCTATTCCCACTGTTAGGATTAAAGGAGAGTGCCATTACTCCCAGTAAGATCTTTTTTCTCCTTGAAAGCAGCATCAAAAGTCTGATTCATAAAAGAAAAAAAAAAACAAAAAACAAAAAACTTGATTTCTTGGACTTCATCAAATTAAAAAGTATCTCTTCTTCCAAAGAAAGGAGGGCAGGAGAAATGATTCTGGATGAAAGTCTTTCCACACAAGCCCACTGATCTGAGTTCAATACCCAAATGCCCACCAACATTGCCGAGTAACTGTGGTATACCTGTACAATAAGATCTACTCAACAAGAAAATGAAAATGGGGCCGGGCGGTGGTGGAGCATGCCTTTAATCCCAGCACTCAGGAGGCAGAGCCAGGCGGATCTCTGTGAGTTTGAGGCCAGTCTGGTTTACAGAGCAAGTTCCAGGACAGGCACCAAAACTACACAGAGAAACCCTGTCTCGGAAAAAAAAAAAGAAAGAACGAACGAACGAAAGAAAAGGAAGGAAGGAAGGAAGGAAGGAAGGAAGGAAGGAAGGAAGGGAGGAAGGAAGGAAGGAAGGAAGAAAAGAAAGAGAAAAGGAAAATGGTTAGACCCTATTGCTGAAGACACCACCCACTTTGGTTACAGGTCATAGAGAGATCAGTCTCAAACTGGCCAGAAAACTTTCTCCTGTTGTCTAGCTAACATATTTCTGGAAGGTACCATGAAGGCTGCTGGGGGAAAAAAAGACACCAATGGTCTTATCTAGGACTGGACCCTGAACATTACAATATTGAGCTGCCAGGCAAGTTATGTCCACTGATGTAATAATGGGCATGATGATATGGGGTAAACAACTACTTTCTGATTGGATTAGAGGCCTGCTTCACAGGAGGGATTTCATGTCTAGTACTGTAAGCCTGGTCAAAATCCCTTGGCTGGAAAGATCATAGGCCCTAGAGAGGAAACTGTTGGTGATGTTTTGCTAAATAGTCATGTAGTCAACCTGTCTTCTAAATATTAATGCTTACATCCATAGATTTGTTCTCCTCTGAATCATGGTCAGAAAGACTTTTCCTTGAAGTGAGTAATGGTTAATACAGAAGCTCCTTTATAGAAATGGTCAAAGAAGTGATAAGAAGTGACTGTGAATGCTCAACCACAGACAGATCAAAATATATCCCATCTGGGGCTTACAGACCATCATAGAAAAGGAGATGGGAAGAATGTAAAAGTCAGAGGATGAGGAAGGAAAGTGTGTAGTTTCTTTTTTTAGTTGTTTTTTTCCTCTCTTTGGGGGTCTGCCACCCACCCAGCTTCCAAATAAATACATGGAGATACTTAGTCTAACTTATGAATAACTGGCCTTAGCTCAACTTGTTTCTAGCCAGATTTTCTAACTTAAATGATCATGTTTATTTTTAACTACATTTTGTCTCTGGGCTTTTTACCCTTCTTTATCTATACATCTTTCCTTCTTACTCCATGGCTGGCTGTGTGGTTGTGTGGCTGGCCCCTGGTGTCCTCCTCTCCTCCTTTTCTCATGCCTCGCTTCTTCTCTCGAGCCTAGATTTCTCCTCCTGTTTATTCTCTCTGCATGCCGGTGCTGCCCATCTTTTCTCCTTCCTAGCTATTGATCATTCAGCTCTTTATTAGACCATCAGGTGTGTTAGGCAGGCACAGTAACACAGCTTCACAGAGTTAAACAAATGCAACATAAAAGAATGCAGCACATCTTTGCATCATTAACCAAATATTCCACAGCATAAACAAATGTAACACATCTTCAACTAACATTCCACAATGAAAGCTGTGAAATGCTGTCTTCCGTGCAAATGTGCTGTTGCACAAATCAACTCACAGTAGCTGTGGCTGCCTGGACAAGACCAAGCCAGTCAAAATTCCAGCATGGGTGACAGACAGGCTGTCAAGGACCAGTTCTCCCAGAGGAGCTACAGGCAGCTGATGACTGCTGAGGAAGGGAGTGTCAGTTTTCTTTGGGAATGTGGCTTCTAGTAGGTTGCCACAGCAGACGGCCCCACACCCATGCACATATGGTCAACACTAACTGGACTCAGGAAGATGATGACAAAAAAGAAAGGGGGGGAAAAAAGAAGAATCAGGAGGGAGACAGGTAAGGGGGTCCTGAGGAGAGCGGGAAGGGGTGGTTATGAGCAAAATATAATGCACACATGTATGAAAATTTTCAAAGAATAAATTTTTTAAAAATTTAAAACAAAATATTGATCCATACAAGATGATTCCCCCAAATAATTATGCTAAGAACACCAGAATAAAAATGAGTATGTATGATTCAATATATAAGAAATATGATGAAAATCACATTAATTATTGCTTAGAGAGGGTTGCAAGGATGAATGCATTAAAGGGATTAAAGAAAACTTCAAAGGCTGAATGTGTGATGGTGTCATGTTACAAGATTCAATAAATCATGACTGACCTACAATCTCAGCATTTCAGAGGCTGAGTTGGGGGACTATGATTTGATGCTAGCCTAGGATGGGCTATATAGGTAGTTCCAAGCTCGCATGAGGCTACAAAAGGAAGGGAGGGAGGGTGAGAAAAAAAAGAGACGAAAAGAAAGACCCAGCAAGTGACAAAAAACCTATCATCAAAATTCATTGTATAAGTAATTACATCTCAATTAACCTATAAGGCAGTTTAAACAATTCAAATGAAGCCTACACCAGCAACCAAGGCCCATTACAGAACACTTCCCTTGTGCTCTGACTCTTTTACTCTTAGCACTCTGCACCACGGAGGTTCAAACGGAAAAGAGAGTATCTGTAAATGAGGAAACCTAAATGCAGAATGGCGAGGCAATGTGACAAAGGCTGCACTACTAGTCAAAAGGAGAATCAGGGTTCAAACCCTGCTAATCTGGCTCGGGATCCACATTAACAGTACAGTGTTTGTTTCTCGGGTAAAAGAACTTTTGTATTTGAATAATTATAAAAAGTGTAAGTATGTGAAACAGTGTTTTCATCAAACAGAACACACATGTTTCAAATCTAGAGATGAATAGGTTACCTTATTGTTTAAATGTAAATTAGTTTTCCCCAATTCCCACTTGTCAGTCACCCTCCTGTGACATCTTGAGAGACTGATCCTAAAACAAACAGCTATGTATTTCCCTTCAGTACCACAGCTGCTGGTTATAATGAAAGGGTTACAAACTAAGTCCAACTGGCCCATTCAAGAAGGTTCTACACATCTCGAGTCTATTTCACGATAGGGTGGTGGTACACACCTGTAAACCCAGCACTCAAGAGGCAGAGGCAGGCAGATCTCTATGACGACCAGGTCAGCCTGGGCTACATAGCAAGTTCCAGTTTGGCCAGAGATACAGAGTAAGACCCTGACTCAAAACATAACTGGAAGACTCTACTTCATGGGGCTGGGAAGATGGCCCAGGAGGTAAAGTGCCTGCTGTGGAAGCATGAGGACCTAAATTTGGATCCTAGGTATCCAAGGAAAACCCACGCACTGTGGCTTGCATCTATGGTAGGACAGAGAGAAGCAGATAAGTAGATCCCCAAAACTCAGTGGCTAGCCAATTTGGCTGAACTGACGAGGTTCAGTGACAGACCGACAGATCCTACTTCAAAAAATAGGTGGAGAAGGAACTGAAGAAGACAACTGATGGCAATCTCTGGCCTCCACTCACAGATGTGCATGTACATGTACACACACACACACACACACACACACACACACACACACACACACACGAGTGCTTCATACACATTTCTCTCTTCAGTTCTATGGTGGTTTGAATAAGAATGTCCCCAGTAGACTCATGTAATTTGAACACATCGTCCCCACTTGGTGGTGGTGTCTGGAAGGTGAGGCCTTGTTGGAGGAAGCGTGTCACCGGAGGCAGGCTTTGGGAATCTAAAGACTTGAGTCAGCTCCAGTTCGTTCTCTCGGCTTCGTGCTCAGGGTAAAAGATAGGAGCCCTCAGCTTCCGGCTTCTGTTGTCATGCTTCCCCTCCTGAACAGGCAGCTCAAAAAACTCTTCTGTACATTGTCTTGTCATGATGTTTTATCACAGCAACAGGAAGGGAACAAATTCAAGTTCTCTGAGAGTTTCATAATCTTCTCATAATTTTTATTTGAGGAAATGATAGTAACATATATTTTCAAAATTAATTTTTTTGTCACTCTTCAAGAAAATAAGCAAATATCTACTATAACAAAGCAATGATAAAGAGACAGGGAAATTATCCAGCAGCACAGCAAGGGAGAGTATCTTTTCATAAGGAGAAAACAAAGAAGAGAAAGGACACCAGGAGGTTCTGGGTGTACATGCAAGTGAGCACAAAGAAAAGCCACACAGTGGGAAGACGGTAACATACCTGAATTACTATGTATTTTAAAAGTGCTTCAAGAAAATAGCTTGTGAGGTCTTCTTGTCCTTTATCTCCTGACTGCGGGGGAACAAGAGGGGTGACTTCCTCTATAGTTACTTGAGCTATCCGAAGACAAGAGAATCGTGTAATCATAAGACAAGCTCCATTATACAAAAATGTGACCAAATAAAATTTAGCAAAACAAATAAGCAATGAAAACTGCTTTTAAATTTTTCTAAAAATTACATGTTGAAATAAATCTGAGGATAATCCTGACAGTCCATAATTATTGTAAACTTCAAAACTGGCTTTTTTGTGACTCCTTGACTGAGAGAAAATGGAACAGGGATGAGCAGGTATGTAGTGACTGGGGGCACATGGCCCTCACTAGAGAAGATTCACATTGGAGTGTCCATTACAAAATGCCACAATATGATAAGAAACATACTGCAAGGTGCTTATTCATCAAATTAGCATTCTGATTATACAGAGAAGTCTATGTTTTACTTTTCAGATATTAATTCACTATAACGAATGCTGATGCAAACAAACAAACAGAATCAACCCAGTTAGCTGAATGATCTCAAATTTCCTAAACAGAATAATCAGTAACTGGCTGTACTGCCCAAGTTAGTAAGCCCACAGCAAAGTTCTAAAATAATACACAGTGTAATATATCTAACACCCATTTGAAAAACTTAGTATTTAAAAACACAACCTTTTATCATTTGCACCCTGTCCTCACAGACTAGTATGAGTGCTTTACTTTGCAAAGCTATAGACCCCCCTCTAAGACCCAAGGACTTCTGAGTAGCTATAGAAGAATGTATAGGTGGTTTGTATTTCCTATGCCCTGTAAAGTAAACAGCAAAACTTCTACTCTGGGGGCTGGAGAGAGGGCTCAGCACTTCAGAGGTGTATTGCTCTTGTTTGCCCCAGGTCCTGTTCCCAGTGCCCACAACAGCTGGCTCACAAACCACTGGAAACTCCAGTTCAGAAGATCTGAGATTTTTCTAGCCTCTGTGGAAACCTGCATGCATGTGGCAAACATATACACACATAAAGAAAAAAATAAAGGAAAGTTTAAATTTTGTTCTCAGAAAGAGAATGCAAAAGAGTTGGTCAAAATGCATTTGAAACTAAGCAAAAAAAAAAAAAAAGAAATTTAGGGGTTGGGGATTTAGCTCAGTGGTAGAGCAATTGCCTAGCAAGCGCAAGGCCCTGGGTTCAGTCCTCAGCTCCGGGGGGAAAAGAAAAAAAAAAAAAAAAAAAGAAAAAGAAATTTAGCTCTAAAAATAGAGACGGAAGGAAAGCTACAGATGGGATAAATGGCAGTGAACCAAAAGGAAAAGTGCTCATGAAACATTAGTTGAATACTTCAGGATGACATGCATGTAAATAAGCAGACGTAAGTGGTCTGCTTAAGCTGGTATATTTATAGATTTTATGCAAGATTGTTTTTGTTTCTAAAATTTCATGGTACAGGTATAGTTTGCTTTGCTATAAAAATCTGTAATTTATAGAAATATATATTACAATAATATGAAACATCTAATAGAGTACAAGTTATGGACTGAACTGTGTACCCCCAAAACTCATACGCTGGAACATGAAACCTCAATGTGACTGTATCTAAACAGTGAGCATGTAAGGTTATAATGAGGTTATTAGGGTTCAGCCCTAAATGTATAGAACTAGATATAAGGAGAGAAGAAATACCAGAGCGTTTGCTCTGTGTGCACAAGCATGCAAATGCACTAAGGAAAAAAATCATGTGCGCACACAATGAAAAGGTGCTGTGTGCAAGCTGAGAAAAGGCTCACCAGAAACTGGACTGTCAGCATCTACATGTGGACTCCAACCTCTAGGAAATACACTCTGCCATGAAGTCACTTAGTCTGTGGTATTTTGTTACTGCAGCCCTAGTCAACTAATACAGCACTATATATCACAAATGCTTACTAGTAAAAGAAGAATATATTTAGCAAAAAGAAAAATAACTTTGATATTTAAGCAGAATAATACAAGGAGAAAACTAAAAAGTAAAGAAAAATAACATTAGAAAATCTTAGGGTTAAAAAAGACAAAGATTCACTAGTGAAAAAAACAGTTAAATAACTTTTCTAAAATTACAAGTTAAATTTAAAATAAAAATGCAACTTTAGATTTATAAAATTTTATATGCAGCATTTTATAGTCACTGTATAAAGAGAAACACACTTTTATGTCTGCATACATCTAAACTAATTCCAGCATACAAAACGATACACAAGAAATAATAAATTAAAACCAGGAGTAGTGTCCAATACCTCCCAGCAAGAGGATCTTGTGTTAAAGGTCATCTTTTATTACATAGTAAACTTAAGGCCAGCCTGAGGTATATGAGACTCTGTCTCAAAAAAACACAACAAAACATGATGTGAAGTGGTCCATATTAACCCTAATACGGTTTACACGCTCTGATATCTGGGACTTGGCTACCAGAGATAATGTCCTTACCAGGGCTGGCCAATTCCTACAGGTAGTAATTGACTAACCTGATAATAATGACGCTCATATACAAACCACTCTCTCTGAAGTCCACACCCTCATAAAGTCCTCTACACTCTGAATCAAAGGTACTATTTTCCTGTCTTGATCACTTCAGAGCCAAGGACTAGACAACTAGGGACCACCTTTTTGTACCAGAAGCCACTGAAATCATTTATTTACACGAGCTGATTTTTTATTTGCTCTCACTGACTTGCTACTTCCTTCCCATGAAACCACAATAAAAGCTCCGGCCCACACTAACATATCAACTTCTGCTCCTTCACTTCTGACTAACCCTGATCATTCACACAGAGAGCTGCGCGCGCGCGCGCGCGCGCGCGCGCGCACACACACACACACACACACACACACACACACACACACACACACACACACACACAGTCTACACAGGCCTGTGGCATGTGGTATGCTTCCTCTTGAAAGCTAAGTGGCAAATTACATTTCCAACAGCTGTCTTAACCCGCAGGCCCCACCAAGCTAAAGTAATACTAAACCTATCTTCACAAACACTGCCTCAGAATACCATGTGATAACTGCACAGACATTTGACATTAAAAACAAACTACAGGGAGGGCTGTAGCGATGGTCAGTGAGTAAAGTGCCTACTAAACAAATATGAGGACCTGAGATCAGATCACCAGCACCCACATTAAAAAAAGATTGGGGTGGCCTTAAAGGCCAGGAACCCCAGTGCTATGGGGCAAAAACTAGTAAACTGCAGAGGTTGGGGGATTGCTAGCTAGCTAGTCCAGTTGGAACGGTGAATTTCAGACTTAGTATGGGACTTGGACTCAAAAATAACAATAATATGGAGAAGAAACTGAAGAAGATATCCAGCTGTCAATGTCTGGCCTCCTCATGGCCAACACGGACAAGCATACCTGCACACATGCACATATACTACAAGCACATTTGTACGCACACAAAAATGCATATACACAAACACATTTTTACAAGAAAATCTATAGGAAACATACTGACAGATAACATCTCATCAATCTTACTTTCTTGAAGGTTGAGTGGAGGATTAATAAGATTATCTAAAGTTCGAGGTCCATATTCAGATTGTGGTGCTGAAAATCCAGGGATCAAGCATGAAAACATCCAGAGCTGTTCTTTGCTACAGTTATCCTGAAGAGCTTGCAACCATAACAAGAAGAGACGAACACCTTCCCGTCTGATCTAAAATAAAATGAAAGGAAATACAGTATTTAATGGACATGTGTTCTTGCTCCTTAGAACACAGTTCTTTAGAAAGATATTTTGTTTAAGAAAGAGAAAGACAAGATGGAGAGTGAAGACAGATATACCCATGACATCTATACAACTCCCGTTATTTTAAAATCCAAATTCATAGATTTGTAAGAATAAACTTGGGCTAAGGATATTGTTCAGTGATAGTATATGCAAAGCCCTGGGTTCAATCCATAACTGGGGAGAAAAAAACAGCCATACTTGATGGAATCCTAAGAATAAATTACTTAATGTAGTAATTTCCGATTGCAAAAAATAAAAAATAAAACAATCAGATAACAATTTCCTTATCTCTCTGCTTCCCTACCACCCATCACCACCAATCTAATCCAAAGAGAGAAGTGCAGAACAAACGGGCTTAGTAAAGTAGGGAGGGTTACGGGACGCTGGTGAACAACTAATCCATGCTTGCGTCTCTTAAAAGTTACAGGGACGCTGGCGAACAACTAATCCATGCTTGCGTCTCTTAAAAGTTTTGGAGTTATTCAAATCATAAAAGTGAATTTATTTAAACAACTATTTCTGGAACTCTGGAATAACCACTGTGCCCAATGACCTACACCAATCCCCATACATAAAAGACTACGAATACTTGACCCAATAAATGAATGCTCTCCCAGAAAGAGAACAGAAGAGAGAAAAAGGACAACTCCCTCTCTGGCACTGAATTCTTCTCGATGGCTTTTCTCAAATGAATTGAAGACAATCGATTCAACAAGCTTCAGGGAAAAGTCAAGGTGGGAGAGCATAAGTGGTATGGACGTTTTACTGGTTTGGTGTGTTGATTTGTCTGAGACAAAGTCTCAGGGCAGACCAGGCTGGTCTCAAACTTGGTGTGTAGTTGATCTACCTGCTTCCACCTCTTCATGCTGGGATTCCAGGAGGGCCCCATTACACCCACTTTATGCAGTGCTGGGGACCAACTCAGGGCCCTGTATGCATTTAACAAACACTCTAACCCACCCAAGTCCTTTGCTCAGGTTTTTTTTCTAAGTCATAGAAAAAAGTATAATTATATTTTACCTTTAAGGAGTTTCCTGTGTGGAGTAGTTTCTTTAAAATCAATCCTGAAAAGAAAAACATGGTTTTAATTATCCCTATCTTCTTCTCTATTTATAAATGTCAGAGTTCTCGGTCAGACTTGAAATTACTTTTAAACAAGTCCTTGGCAATCTCTAAATTGTTCTCGGTGACCTTGGTAACCCTTTGATCAAAAGTGAGGTCAGAGGGGCTTATAAAAAAGTCACCTTTCAACACAGTTAAACATGATTTATTTATTGACAAAATTTGGTCCCAAAATTGTGCTTAACAAAACAATCTATTACATCTCTTATTTACACTGAAAATATTAATAAAGTATTTTACCACTAATACAAAAAGCTACTGTAAAAAGGTTTTAATTAACCAAAAGAATATTAATTAATTCCACTATTTCCTAATAATTATTTTCATTACTATAACATCCAGAAGCACATCATTCACTGTGAACAAATCTAAATACAATATTATGTTTGTTAGGATTTAAACACTTATCTTTGTTTTACTTAACCATTGAAGCCTAAATCAATGGCACATTGAAGCTTAAATCATTTTCTTCCCTTCTTCTCTTGAGGAAAACATTATATACATTTAGAATTATCACTTCAAAAATATTTTTTATATTACTACTTATAAATACATTCATTTCTTGGCATCAATTGCTTAAAACCTTATATAAAGGGTATCATACACAGCAATTCATTTATAAGTTACTGCTTTTCATATCTAATATTAGCTTTTCAAATTTATCTACACTGGTCTATGTAGCTCTAGATAATTCATTTTAACTACTTTAATACTTTATCATTATACAAATATACCAAAAATATATCTTCTTTATATAAAGACATGTGGCTTATTTCCAAATTTTTGCCACTATCAAGAGTACTATAATATCCATGATTGTCTGCTACATATATGACTTTTCTTAGGATATATAAATTGCAAAGGAAGCACTCACTTTCAGCTTTACCAAATATTAAGAAATTTTAAAATATAATGATGATTAACAATACCAAGCGATGCAGTGCGTAACTGTGCTCTGGTATATGATGGCAGCATACAACCCAATAACAAATTCTAAAATTTGATAATCTAATTAGTGTTAAGTTTAAATGTTTCCATTTGATGGTTTCTAATGACAAAGAATGACCTTTTGTTTGTCCATTCAAATTTTATTCAATTGTTTGTCATGTCCTTTTGTAATTTTCAAGTAGACAGACTTTTCTAAGTTAAAGATCTGTATTGTTTTTAGTTACATGTATGTGTTTGTGTCTGTGTGAGTGAATGCCATGTGTGTGGTGCTGCTGGCAGCCAGAAGAGGACATCAGATTCCCTTGGAGCTGGAATCACAGGCTGCTATGAGTGGGTGCTGGGAATTGAACTCAGGTCCTCTAGAACTGCAGCACATCTTCTCATCCACTGAGCCATCTCTCCAGCCCTCAAGTTTTTGTTTTTGTTTAATATTAAGAGTTCATTATGTATATTGCCTACTAATTTTCTGTCAGCTCTATAAAGGCAGAGATAGGAGAGGCCAGTCTCAGCTGCACAGTAAGAGGACAGTCTAGGCTTTTGAAACTATATCAAAAACAGCAAAAGAGGGCTGGAGAGATGGCTCAGTGGTTAAGAGCACTGACTGTCTTCCAGAGGTCCTCCAGAGGTCCTGAGTTCAATTCCCAGCAACCACATGATGGCATACAACCACCTGTAATGAAATCTGGTGCCCTCTTCTGGTCTGCAAGGACTCATGCAGGCAGAATACTATATACATAATAAATAAATATTTTAAAAAAAAACGGCAAAAAGCATGTGTTTGTATGTGTGTGTTGTGTGTATGTAAATTTCAATAGGACCAACACTTTTATTTTTAGGTGTACTTTCTATATATAAAGAAATCCTTGACTTTGGTATTATAAAGATAAAACAAATAGTTCTTCCAAAAAACTTGTGAGGTGTTTTCCTTTGTTTTGTTTTTTTTAATTTTGGATTTTGGGCCAGGCTGGCCTAGAGTTCACAACACAGCTGAGGCTGACATATGACAACAAATGGATTCAAAGACTAGTTGAGGATAGAAGTCTCCTAAAACTGGATTAGGAGAACTATCTTCTAAAAGCCACCGAATCTTACTTCAAAGAATCCATTTTACTTATGCAAACTGTATCTCTGAATGAAGTTATTTTTAAATCAACTACAGTTACAGTTTCTTTCATTAACAATTCATAAAAGCCGACAACTTGTAGGAATCATCTGAGTGACAGAGAAAAATCACCATTTATGAATTTTCACAAGTTATACATAATTTTGGAATATTATTAATCATGACAACTTTGTAATAACAGCTCAAGAGCCCTGTGGTTATAATTTGAATGTAGCAAAACCTGAATTCGTTGTTTAAGCTTGTTTCTTGATAAACAGAAAGTCTGTTTTCTCTTCTCTCTGACTGTAACCTGCAACATACTCTTTTCTTTTCTTCTCTCTCTCTCTCTCTCTCTCTCTCTCTCTCTCTCTCTCTCTCTCTCTCTCTTTCTGTCTTCTCTTCAGCTTTTGTTTCATGAGCTAGAGAGCCATATTTTGGTACTTCAAGCAACAGTAAGCTTAACTCTAATCCTCCTGCTTTGTTTTCAAATCATGGGCACAGTCATACATGGAGTATATGCCTATAATCCCAACATACTGGAGGCGGAGGCAAGAGGATCATGAATTCAAGGCTTGCCTGGGCTACATAGTGAGAATTTGCCCCTAAATTACTTCAGTACTGCTGTGGGATGGTCCTTGTGTACCGTTATTTGAATATGTGTTGTTCTCACTGGTTGATAATAAAGCTGTTTGGCCAATGGTGAGGCAAGGTAAGGTTAGGCGGTACATTCAAACTGGGAATGCAGATGAAGAAGGGTGGAGTAGGGGCAGATGAAAGCCAGCTGCCCAAGGAGCAAGATGCCAAAGGACCAGTAAGCCATGGGTCATGTAGCAATGCATAGATTAATAGAAGTGGGTTAATTTAAGTACAAGAGCTAGTTAGTAATAAGCCTGAGGCATCAGCCAAGCATTTGTAAATGATTATTTGGAAGCGGCTGTGGGATGGAGTGGGACAGAGAAACTCCGTTTACACAGTACTCAAAGGCTGAAGCAGTAGGACCGCTGCACAAATGAGCACAGTTGAGGGGAAGGCAGCTACATAATGAGTTCTAGGCCAACCTGGACTATGTGAGACCCTATAACAAAAAACAAACAGGAAATCCAGAGGTTACAGCTTTGTAGATTCTCTTTTTTTGGCATTTGCATTTCTCTCCTATTTCTGATTCACGAAGATATTTATCTTGCCTAAGCCTACTTCCATTTTTAAAAATAACTCATCATCATTGCTAATGCATTCAGAGTAAAGGAAGAGGTAGATCACAAAAAAAATATTGTGTGCCAAATCAACATATATACATGAATAGATTTCCTCCTCCCCTCTCTCCTCCACTCATCTGTTCTGCCTACTTTTTGTGTGTGTTTATAGGAAATTGAACCCAGGTCCTCGCATACAAACCATGACATTTACCACTAACCCTTGGCCCTTCATTTAAATTTTAGTCTTAAACTCTCAATCTGCCCCTGTATTTTCCTCTCTATAGTACTGAGGATCAAATTTAGAATCTTACGCATTCTAGGCAAGTACTCCATCACTGAATTCTATACCCAGCTCGTTCCTCGCTCTTTCATTTTCAGATGGGGTCTTGCTTGCCCAGGCAGGCCCTGAATTTGTGATCCTCAGGCCTCAGCATCCTAAGTAGCTGGGATTAGAGACCTGTGGCACTATACCTAGTTCCATCCTAAATTCATGTATATACATGAACACATGCATATGTGTGTGAAAAGTGGAAGCCAAAGGTTAATATTGATGCTTTCCACCTTATGTTTTGAGACAGGGTCTCTTACTGAACCTGGAATCTGTGGTTTTAGATAAACTGGTAGGTCACCATGGCACTGGGGTTACTGTATGAATGTGGTCACTCGCTTTTAGATCTGGGGGCTGGGGATCAGCACTCAGGGTGTAGCTTGTCCAGCAGGCACTTTACCTACTGAGCCATCCCCCTAGCCTCTTATATTCTGTTTTCACTAAAACAAACCATGAACTCATTAACAATAACTGAGAAACCATTATATAATTTATTTCAGATGTGAAGTGTGTATTTATATTACTTACCAATACTATGAAATTGCCATCGCTGATGAATTCTTTCTGGAAGGAGTTGTAAAATTTTCTAAAAATCAATATAAGCAAAATAAAGAGTAAAATTAAATAATGTGTCAAGATATTGTAAAGTATGAAATATTAGAGGACCACATTAAGAGCTTCTTATGTTAAAGTATAGCAAATACAAACTAGTAAAATATTTGAACTTTCCCACCCAAAAAGTAGTAATACTAAAGAAATTTTGGAAGAGAAAAATGAATGGAATTTATCTTTAACAGTGATAAAAAGTAAGTATGGTCTCCTTTTGATGGCTAACCTTGGTTATCAACTTGACTGGATCTGGAATGAACTAAAATGCAAGAAGCATCTGGGAACACCTATGAGGGATTTACTTGAATCAGGAAGACCTGCCCTAAATTTACATGATACCTTTTGGTAGCAGATCAGATAAAAGTAGATGAAAGAAGGAAGTTTTGCTTTTTGCCTGTTTGCCCTTATTCTCACTGGCAAGTTTATCCATCCCGCTGCTTCAGCATTCCTTCACTGAAATTAGAATTGACTTCTTCCAACTTCCAAAGTAGACTGAAGACCAGCAGCCCTCCAGGAATCCTCTAGGCTTCAGTGCCAGATTGGGTCTGCTAACCTTCAAGTTCACAGACTAAGTAACTACCAGATTCTCAGTCTCTCCAGTATGAGACAGCCACTGTGAGACTACCCAGAATGTATCACATAAGCCAATCTAATAAATCTGTGTGTGTGTGTGTGTGTGTGTGTGTGTGTGTGTGTGTGTGTGTTTGTGCGCGCGAGTGCACGTGCGCGTGCGTGTGCGTGTGCTGCTTTAGAGAAGCCTCACAAATACAGATTGGAGTACCAGGAGTGGCTCTAGAGAAACAGAATTCTAAGGATGAATTTCTCTAGTGGGTTTGGCCCTATCTGGTGCTGGCTCTCCAATTCAATGAAACCTACAGTTCATAAAGATTCCCCTGGCAGCATGAAGAGCAACTAAGGCTTTGTAGTACTATGTGGCAGGGTTAGAGTCCCTGCAGAGAAGTCCTAAGAAGCCATTAGTGAAGGTGAAGCCTTCTCAGTTTCAGTGGGGACCCCAAAGTTGAAGGAGTCATGGAGAGAAGCTGAGGCTTGCCATCCTATCAGGGTTGGAGTCCCTGCAGGGAGACCAGGAAAGGTCAATGGTAAGGTTTGAGTCTCAGTTAAGAGTAGAGGCTGCAGGATATGGGAGATGCTAGGACCACAGGACATCTGCCAAGAAAAGCAGCAGTTATGAAGTGGAGCTGGTTTGAGGCTCAAAAACAAGCTATGTGTGCTGTGGATGGCAGAGCTGGAAAAGTGGAGCTGCCCAAAGCTCTTTAGAGCCCAAAAGATCAGAAGTGAGTCCCATACAGCATACACTGAGCTCCTTATACTGCTGGGTTTGGGTTCAGATTTGACTATAACTATGCCCTGGTTCTTCCTTCTTGGGAAAAAATATATTGAACTTGGTTTTGTTTTGTTTTGTTTTATTTTATAGGAGCTAACAGCTAAGAGATTTTTGAACTTTTAAAGGGGACACTAAACTTCTAAAGAGTTACAGTTTTTAAAGACTGGGACTTTTAAAGTTATACTGTATTTTGTATTATGATATTAACATATCTTGGGAATAAACAAGAAAGGAAAGGTTATGGTTTAATAGTAATGTATCTGTGTATCAAGTTGACAAGGAATAGACTGAACTGATTGGGGTTTTTTTTTTTTTTTTTTTTTTTTTTTTTTGGTCAACTTGACAGAATTAAGAGTCACCTGGAAAGAAAAAAAAAACACAATTGAGGAATTGCATAAATCAGATTGGCCTGTGGGTATGCTTGTGGGGCCTTTCCTCACACCCTCACAGTGTTTCTCTGTGTAGTCTTGGCTGTCCTTGAACTCAATCTGTAGACCAGGCTGTCTTGAATTCAGAGATCCACCTACCTCTGCCTCCCAAATGCTGGGATTAAAGGCATGCACCAACAACAACCAGCTTGGGGCCTTTTCTAAATTGCTATCTGATGTAGGGAGGCCCAGCCCACTATGGGCAGTACATTACTAGACAGGTTGGTCTGGAGTGCATAAGAAAACTAGCTGGGCATGAGTGAGAGAGCAAGCTAGTAAGCAGCATTCCTCCACGGTCTCTGCTTCAGTTCCTGTCCCAGGTTCCTGCACTGACTTCCCTCTGTGATGGACCGTTAGCAGCAAGTAAAAGCTGAAATAAACCTTTTCCTCCCCAAGTTGCTCTTGGTCAAAATGTTTTACACAGCAACAGAAAGGCAAACCAGGACTCTCTTTCATTATTAAATATTGATTCTAATATATTTCAAAATGATTTTTTACTTAGGATTTCTGCATTGTAGATAAAACTCTTGAGATTTCAATTAACATTTGCAGCATAGATTTTCCCCCTTTCCCTTTTCAATAAACCTAGGATAATATTTTGATTTCATAAAAATCTCATTGAACCTGAGTCCTCGGTTCAATACCCAGCAGCAGAAAACAAAAGGAAGGGGGAAAGAAAAGGGAGAAGAGGAGGAGGAAAGGGGGCTGGAGAAGGGAGGGGAGGGGAGGGAAAGAGAAAAGGAAAAGGAAAGGAAGAATGAGGAAGAGAACAGAAGCAAAAAGGAAAGGTTAGGGAAAAAAGAAAAGGAGAAAGGGAAAAAGAAAAGATAGAACATGCTACATTAATTAATTAATTCATGTGAGCCCAGAGGTACTTGGATGCCATGATGGACATAGGTAAGAAAGCAAAAAATTTTAAATTTTGGAGCTTTATAGTGAAGCTAAAACACTTTCTATATCTAATACTTTGAAATTTTGTTCTTTATTTCTTTTCTACTGTATATGCAGATTATTCCAGCAAAATAGCTAAATTTTTATGAAACTATGCTCAGTCATTATCCACTTGCTGAATGACACTGTGTGTTTGTTACTGTTGCTGCTGTTATAACTATTACTTAGCCACATCATTAACTAAAGGATGCTCATAAGCTCAAACTAGATACTTTATGTAATGGTCCTTTCAATCAACCCAAATATCTCTTTTTTTGTTTGTTTTTGGTTTTTCGAGACAGGGTTTCTCTGTGTAGCTTTGGTGCCTGTCCTGGATCTCGCTCTGTAGACCAGGCTGCCCTTGAACTCACAGAGATCCGCCTGCCTCTGCCTCCCAAGTGCTGGGATTAAAGGCATGCACCACCACTGCCTGGCTCCAACTATCTCTTTTGACCAATAAAGAAATGGGTTGAGTAGTGTGCTTAGGTTAGAAATCTAGCAAGTGAAAGGACCAAGAACGCTACTTCAATATGCCTAGTTCCATGTCTGTGCCTTTACACTAATCTGACCAGAGAATAATAGGTACTTTTTAAATGTCTCTTTCTTTTGATAGGATCTCCTTTAGTCCATTCCATAAAAGAGGACAATAAAGAAAACATAAAGTTTAGGGACAGACAGATGGGAGCAAGAAAGACACTGCAAAGACCTGAGTTGGATCCCTGGAACACATGTTAAGGTAGAAAGATGACCAGCTTCACAAAGCTGTCCTCTAACCACAATATGTGTGCAGTGGCATGTGTCCCCCACACATCATGTGCACATACGCTGACCTAACATGAAACATATAAATTTAATCTTTGCTTTCCGACGTGTCTCCCACAGCTAGCCAACAAACACATAATTCTGTTTTGGTGAGGAAAATGATAAAATTATAGAAAGGTTGAAAAGATAAGTTTATGAGCTACTCAAAAGCAGTTCTAACTTCCAATCAATTATGTTTTAGATTTAATTCTATTTGTTTAGAGACAGGATTTAACCTAGGCTGGTCTTAAAATCATGATGTTCTTCGATGGTTACGGGCACACAGCCACCATGTCCAGCTTAAGTTCTTTAATTTCTAATGTGGATAAAAAGCCCCCCAAAATTTATGTGCCTTCAATTACAGAAAAAGCAGAATCCAAATCTTGTGCTATATTAACATTACATACAGTGATGCTTTTTAACCAGAATGTAGTCACTTTATGATTTTCATCATTTGTCTCAAAACACAGATATATACATTACCATCCAATTTTAAGAAGAAAATCAGCACAAGGACTAAATGTTTTTTTGGAAAAATGAAAATCCCAGGGCTGGAGGTTTTCCCTTTTCCCAGGAGCAGAAGGTGTACTCACCAGGTGTAAATCCCTTTAGATTTAGGATTCAATCTAAAGAAAAACCAAACAAACTACCCCCTAAAAAACAAGCCACTTCATCTCACTTCTTCTTCCTAATGAAATGTAGCGATCGACAACACAGATGTCCTGTATTACACACAGGAAAGCATATTTTTTAGTATTTTCTATTATTTCCATTTTCTAAAAAGGAATTTTCTTAATTCATAGGTCACCTTGTTTCCTGAACTAGAGCAACCATTATCTTGCATTCTCCAGGGACACATTTACTCTTCCCCAAACATTTGTGTTCACTATTCCATTTAGAAGCAAGCCCTTCATGTAACCACTGAAGGTAGTTTACTTACCAAATAAAACCAGGTTTCAAAGGATTCAAGACAATGAAATGAATTTCAGAGTATCAGTTACTGTCATCTAGCACCTTGTTTTGTTTTTCCTTTTTCTGAGTCAGGGTCTTACCATGTAGCCCAAGCTGACCTAAAAATTTGCAAGTCCTGCCTTAGCCCCCCAAAGGTTAGCGCTTCGGGCATGTACCACCATGTCCAGACAGTCATTCTTAGAGAGAGTCTTCCTCTCTCTAGGTGGCCAGCGTGCTCATCAACGCCCAGCTGGAGCACTCCTTCTAAGTTTTCCCCATGGAGCAACAGGACCTCAGGTGCATAGCCATCTCCACTAGGAGAAACGGGTTTCTATGCTCTCTCTTAGTCTCCAGAGTCATCAGCTCTAATCTTGGCTTTCTATCAGTCTCTAAATTCTCAGCAAAGACAAGAATATTCCAATGACTATTTCCTCTGATAATAAGCTATTTTAAAGTACGAATGAGAGGGGCCTAATTTTTGAATGTGCTGAAAATATAAACAAATTTTAGCAGAGCTTATCTACCTCCAAGCTATGCTTTCTGTTTATTTATGAATATTTGCCCAGAACAATTCAAAGTGATATAAAATAACAATTTAAAAACAAGGCTATTTTGTTCAAATTAATAACAAAAGGCCTTAGAGCACAAAGTATGAGCTGAGTGTGGTGGTATACGTCTTTAATCCCAACACGTGTTGATAGAAGACCAGAAGTTCAAGGCCAGCCTGGGCTATATGTGTTGTATAGCAATTTCCTCCCAATTCAAACAGTCCATCCTGGAGGGAAGCTCCTTAAGATTCAGAAAGTTCTAAAGTGATTTCTTTAAGACTCAGAAAGTAAATAATTCACAAGTCTCAGGAAGTCCCTGAATCTTACCACATGCACCCCCTTCCCCAGCCCTAAAGCTACATAAACAGTAAGGACTGCTAAGGAGAAATTTCCTGTGTCTTGCACAAAGCTCTAGGGTTCCAACCTTCTAGAATTATCACCCATGCTGTGGTGGGCTTTCAGTGTTGCAGCTGTTTTTGAGTCATTCATGCTTCTGTAAGTGACCCAGGAAACTCATTGGTTCATCAAGGTAGACTCTGGTGAGGCATTATTTGATTTTTTTTTTTTTTTATCAGTTCTCCATGTGGAGTGAGTAGATGTTTGTCCACATCTCCACAGGAATAGTGTCATACAACACTATAAGACCTTGTATCAAAACTAAGTGAAAAATCCTGGCACAGTGACACACACTTTTAGTCTCAGCAGTTGGGAGGCAGAGGCAGGCAGATCTGTGTGAGTTCAAAGCCAGACTGGTCCCCATAGCAAGTTTCAGGCCAGTCAGGGCTACACAGTAAGACCTACTGTGGAATAATCCTTCTGTACACCGTGAAAATGTGTTGCTCTCATTGTTAATAAAAAGCCAATCGATTGGTCAATAGCTAGGCAGGATTTTCAGGGCAGAGAGAATGCTGGGAAGCAGAAGGGTGGAGTCTGAGGAGTCGCAAACCAGATGCAGAAGAAGCAACATGGGAGGTTCATAGATGAGGTAAACGAGCCTCAGGGTAACACACAGATTAATAGAAATGGGTTAATTTAAGTTATAAGAGCTGGTTAGTAACAAGCCTAAGCTATTAGTCGAGCATTTATAATTAATATTGAGTCTCTGTATGGTTATTTGGGGAATGGCTGCTGGGACACAGAGATACACTGCCTACAGAGACCCTGTCTTAGGAAAAAACAAAAGCAAAACAAATAAATAAATGAAAGCTAAATCTTCTACTCATATATAATATCCAAGGCTCTAGAGGTTAAAAAAAAATCTGTGTAAACTATAAAAATTTTCATTTTGCAAATATGCTATCAAATTAATTTTGTGTTGTCAAAAGCATAAACATAATTTGTCCCTAAAAATACACTGTACCTTTAAAATACACAAACTCAGTCAGATACATTTTTAATTTATAAATTAAGTTCTGCAAAAAGCTGGCAGATTAACTGTGTTTCATTATATATCTAATAATTATATTTCTTCATATGTTCCCAGAATTATTTTTGAAAAAGTTTAAAAGGTATGATTCACAGCACTTACCTCAAAAATAAAAAGTATAGCATCCAATTCCTCTCTTTGAGACTTGTGACCTGAAATATTTTTAACAGAAAAATACTTTAAATATATTATTTTATAGTATAAAATATAACTACTTAAGGAACTTAAATGTTTCAATCCCTGAGCTTTTCTTCAGGGATTTTTTTAGGAAATGCTAAAGTGTGGCCTATTTATTATACAGACAGTATTATAGCCCCCTCTCTATTCTTTAGCATAATTACTCTAAATTTAGGTTCTAGGTATGGGGGTTGGGAAGCCCACACTTAACATGTACAAGGCCCTGGATTCAATCCCCAGGATAAACACAAAATTTAGGTTATACTAATATTATTATAATAATAATAATAATAATAATAATATTTAGGTTATACTAATAACAAATCATCATATATTGTGGGTTCTAAATGAGCTCTCAACATGAAAAACACTATTCCTATTACTATTCAAACATTCCTAGGGGAGAACAAAGAAGGTAGGTGGAGGAAACCAGACCAGGAAAATGCAAATATTCTGAGCCTTCACAAAACAATAAGGAGAGTCAGAGGAGTCTGTTTGTTTCCTTTCAAATACAGCTGATGATACTGTTAGAAGGGTATCAAAACAATACTAAAATTCTAATCCAGTTCCTCTTTTTAAATTGATGATTACGACTACTAGAAACATAAGTCAGAATATATGCTGATATCTTACCTTTCTGTTTAAGACTAGCTTCAATAGTCACAAAATTTTCAAAAAACACATAGTATATATGTGAAAAATGTTGGTCAAAAAACTGTTTAAGGTCAATAGATTCTGCATTCTCTGAAAAACACAACAACAAAAAAAAACAGTTCTTAGCAACTATTCCATCACGGTTAAATGGTGATTAGCAAACATTCATAGTGCTAAATTTCCTTCAAGGTCAAAGATCTGCACTGAAATTCTATATATGAAACAAACATTTATATAACTGTTTCTGCATTTTTGCAACTTTTGCCTTTATATATTTCAGTTTTAGTTTTAAAAAAAATTGGTCAAGTTACCATAGTCTTTGTTGTATAAAAGCAATCAATGTCAAAATTGGGTGCAGTGGTGCACAGCTGTAATCCTAGCTACTCTGAAGGCTGAAGTAGGAGGATCATGACATCAAGGCTAGCCTAAGAAGCATAATGAGACCCTGTCAAGATACACAGAGACGGACGGACTGACTGACTCAAAAAAACTACCTCAAAGATCTATCTTTGGGAATGGAGATGGAGAGTACTCGGTGGTTAAGAGCAGTGGCTACTCTTCTAGAGGTCCTTCAATTCCCAACACCTACAAAGTGGCTCACAATCACCTATAAGTGTAGTCCTACAGGATCAGATGCCCTCTTCTGGTGTGTAGATGTACAGGCAGACAAAAACACTCATGTACATAAAATACGTAAATAAATAAATCTTTAAAATAAGATCTATTTTCAATTCATGGCTTCAGTTTTTCTAATATCTCCCCTAACAGTTAAAGAACTATTGTAAGAATAATTCATGATAATTCAGTAAATAAATAACATAACAATAGGCTTTGTAAATGAGCATCTGAGGATTATAAAACCCAAACAAAGACTGCTCTCAAGAATTTGTCAGTACAGCATACAAACAAAACATACAATTCTATGCACAACAGAAAGTTAGATGATGAAATTGAAATGAAAGGACCATATATGGGAATTCAAAACACAGAATTACGTTCAAAGTTTTATGAACTGCTGCTATACTTTACAGTCTGCATTATAAAAACTACCTATTACCTGAATATAACAAAGAAAAGTAGTCACAGAATACAAATATATTTTATAGAATATGAAAATAAAAATTTTAGACAACTGTGATCAAGAAAAACATTTTCCTTTTGAATGCACTGAAGAACTATGAAATGAGAAGAAAATACATTAGTTACATCTCAACTTTCTGAACTGCTTAAAAATACAATGTCCCAAGAGAAACAAGAAAATGAGAATAACAAAACAAAACAAAAACTCAAAAGCAAACGTGCCTCAACCAAAGACTTCCCAACATATTAGGAGCTGAGATATTGTCCCTCAATTTCCTTCCCATATGGCTATCAACAAAGCCTGGAAGCTGCACACTCGGATAAGCCTAATAAACAAGTACTGAGGCCAGGCACAGTGACGCACTCCTAAAATTCCAGTGGGGTTTAAGATGGGAGGATTACAAAGTCGAGGCCAGTCTTGGGGCTATACAGCTAGACTTGACTAAGCAGGGGAGGTGAGTCTATCAAAATTAAGCTGATTTGTTTGTTTTTCTTTCTTACTTTAAGATTTATTTTTACCTTAAATAATGTGTATGCCTGTTTATCTGTGTGAATGTGCATGTGAGTGCAACTATCTACAGAGACCAGAAGAGGGCACTGAATTCCTTGGTACTAGAGTTAACAGGTGATTATGAGTCACCTGATGTGGGTGCTAGGAACTGAACTCTGGTCCTCTGCAAGAGTAGTCCTTGCTCAGAATCATTGAGCTACCTCTCCAGCCCCTCTATATTTATTTTTAAAAACACAATAGCAAACAAAACCTCTGGTAAAATGTTTGACAGTCAATTCACAAAGTTTACATGGCAGAGGAAAAAGCAAGGCCAAACTATATAAAATATAATACGTCTTCACGTATTTAAAATCTTCCTTCCTCCTCTTCCTCTCCCTCCCACAGAGATAGCTCAGCATTAAGGGCACATGGTGCATTTGCAGAGGACCCAAGTTCAATTCCCAGTCCACACATGACGGCTTATAACCATCTGTAACTCCAGTTCCAGGAGATCCAATACCCTCTTCTATCCTCCACATGATACACAGACAGGCATGCAGGCAAATCATTCATACATTAAATAAAATTAATAACTCTGAAAACAATAGTAAAAAGCTCTCTACAACAATTCAAGAGAAAAGAAAACAGAAAAGAAAGGATATTTACAGATAGGTTACAGGAAAATTCAATCGATTCTGTACCGTAATACCAAATTGTACTCTTTCCAAATGCCCACTAACGTGTCTGCGTCTCTGTTGAAGGCTCTCGCTACTTCTGTGCAATGAGTATGAATGACGACACAGTGGCCAGGAATATCCTAGTCACTGCACAGTCTTCAGGAGCACTGAGTGTGACTTACTCTCTTCAACAAACCTTTAACATTTTAATCTAGGGGAAGTGTTCTGCAAGGTGATGATCCACCCACCTGTCACTATCACCAAAAAAAAAAAAAAAAAAAAAAAAAAAAAAGTTGATAAAAAATACTACTTATCTTCACAAATACTTCTGTTTGAAAGCGTTTGTGAACCAGTATTTTCCCAAAGAAACTAAATAAACATTTCACCAGAAATTCATATGAAGGTTTCTGAATTTTAAAAATGACTCAGGCCTTGGAATGCTTTGTAGACCTTTGGGAATATTAAATTTAAGTAACAGGATAGTTCTAGACTTTTGTTTCCACAAATTAAATTTTTCAGATGTTCCTTTTGGGTTTTTAAAAAAAGGATAACCTTTAAGAACCTGATAATACATTTATTCTCTCTCACATATTTTAAAACATTTAAATACTATAGCATATATGTAAACAAAAAATCTAAAGGTCAGAGGTCAGCTTTCCTTTTTTTTAAGATTTATGTATTTTATGTATATGAGTGCTCTGTCTGCGTGCCAGAAGAGGGCATCAGATGCCATTACAAATAGTTGTGAGCCACCATGTGGTTGCTGGAAATTGAACTCAGGACCTCTGGAAGAGCAGCCAATGCTCTTAACTGCTGAGCCATCTCTCCAGACTCATCCGTTTTCCTTTTAAAGCCTGAGTAGTAAATGAGTCCCTGAAAGTTCACTAAATGAAGCTGGTTGAAAATCAAACCCTTGGCTGTTTTCCGTGATGGCCGTCTGAAGGTGGGACAGCAGCAGCTAGCTCCACTGGACTCACCCACGGAGGTCAGCCAGGGTGCTCTCAGCACATCTGCTCTAACCACCATCGTTTATCTGGAAATACGGCTGAACATGTGCTGTCAGTGTTTCTGTCAGTACTTGAAGGACATGGGCTTCATCAAGCTGGACTAAGAGACCTTGAGTGGATTATTCAAGACTGCCTACCCAGTGAAACTGAGCATGCTAGTCTTTACAAAAGAATAAAAAAAAAGTGAAGATCTTAAAAATAAATAAATAAATAAATAGGCTCAGAAGGGTGAAAGACAACCATGGGGCAGCCTGGGTCCTCATGGTCCAGCCTGCCTGAAACACCCACATGCCCGCCCAGTGCCTTGGGTCAATATGATAAGCAAATATATGGTGGTGAAATCGGAGAGAAAGAGAAGTGAAATGGTTTCTATGTAGTGGTAAGACGCAGTTCTGAAGAAGCAAGGGCTGAGAGGAACGGGCTTGTGTTGGTGGCCTGCTTGCCACATGGGACCAGGGTGACGCCTGGGCCTGGGCTGCTGCCTAAGGCCATATCTGGGTCTGTGGTCCTGCTGCAGCTGGGGTCTGTGATGATGTCCATGGCCCATGTTACCACCAAGGCCATGGGGGTGCCATTTTGTGGCCATTTTGGTGTCCAAAGATGCTGCCACTGGGGCCATACTTGGATCCCTGGCCCTGCAGCAACCAGCGTCTGTTTTGATGTCCACAGCTTCAGTAACCACTGAAAGTCACAAAGATGACCAGGGTCTAGTCAGACACCTGCATCCCTGAGTCCATGATGGTGTCCAGGGGCCACAGTGCCACCAGGACCATCCTAATCTAGATGGCCTGTGCTGCCACTCTGGGGCCATAGTGACATCTGAGCCTGAGCATAGGACCATGTCTTGGTCCATGGCCCTACAGCTGCCAGGGTTTGGGTTGATATACATGGCTCCTGATACCACCAAAGGCCATACAAATACCAGGTGGCGATCGGCGGGTCATGCTGCAGCAAGAGCCATACAGATCTGAGTGGTCTGTACTGTGACAAGGTGCTTTGATGATGTCTCGGAGCTGAGAGCCATGTCTGGGCCTGTGGTCCTACCACAGCCGGGACCTGTATTGATATCTGTGGCTCCTGTTGCCACTGGATGCCTGGGGTCCAGACAGCCACCTGAGACCATGTTGGTGTCCAAGGACCTTGCTGCTGCCGGGGCCATATTGATCTGGGTGGCCTATTCTGCCACCAGGCCATGGTGATGTCTGGGTCTGTGGTCCTGCTGCAGATGGGGTCTGTGATGATGTCCATGGCCCATGTTACCACAGGGGGTCATAGGAACCATGTGTGTTGAAATCCGAGTGCCATGCTGAGCCAGCACCAGCCCTCACTAGCTTTAGGATAGCTGGCCCTGCCCCTTGTTGGACACTGCTGCAGGAGAGTTGGTCCTACCCCCCCATAAGAGTGCTGCTCCTCCCCACACCTGCACTCAGGAGGCAGAGGCCTAGAGGAGCTGGCTCTGTGCTTTGCCTGAGAGGAGTGGTCACAATGCCTGAACTGACCAGCTCAGCTACCACCCAGACCCACATCCTGGCCTTGGGTTGGCCCACCCTAACATCTACCCCATCTGTGACCTGCTGGAGTGCATGAAGGGACTGGCCCTGCGGAACAATAGCTGCAGGATCTCCGTGACTCTGCGCAATAGCAGGATATCCAGTAGGAGTTTCAGTGAGGGTCCAGTGATGATGGTGTGCCAGAGGCCAGAGGCCTTGAACCAGACCAATGACTCACTGCAACGAACATTTGTGGGTGGGGCTGAGTGGACAAAAGGATGTACTGTGTGACACACAGCAGCTCCCAATGCCACTAGGATGAATGAAGAGGGGTTGGAGAGACAGA